ATATTACTCTTCCAACTTAACTTGCCAAATCTGTAGGAAAAGCAGTCAAACTGCCATCGACTGTTGGCATAGACTGGATGCTAACTTTCATCTATCCTCTTCCTCTAATTTTTCTTCTCCATCTACTTCAGCATCTCCTTCATCTGGCTATCCTTCTCCTCGAGCTTTTGTGACTTCAACTCTATCCACTGTTTCTACTGATTCTTCTCCCTAGTACCTTGATTCTGCTGCTTCAGATCATATTACTCATGATCTCTCTAATCTCCACATGTATCAGGATTATCAAGGACCTGATCAGATTACTGTAGGTAGTGGTAAGTCCCTTCCTATTGATCATACATGTAAAGGCTTACTCCCTACTCCTCATTTTTCCTTTAAGCTTAACAAGCTTTTGCATGCTCCTATCTCCTCCAATCTTCTTTCTGTGCATCAGCTCACCAAGGACAATAATTGCACTAGTACATTTGATGAATCTTCATTTGTGATCCAGGACAAACACTCGAAGGCCATTTTGTACAAGGGCCATAATGCTCATAGCTTATATCATTTTCCACATTTGTCATCATCTTCCCCTACTGCTGTGCATGCTCTTCCTGCATCATCATCACATACTGTATTTTCTATTACTACTAGTCCTGTATCTGAGGTTACTTGGCATAAAAGATTGGGTCATCCCTCACAACTGAAATTTGCAGCTTTAAAACAACACTTATCTGTTGCTAATAATCACTCTAAGTCTACTATTTTTTCTTGTACTCATTGTAGTATAGGTAAAAGTCATAGACTTCCTTTCAAGCTTTCTAATTCTACTGTAAATAAGCCCTTATCTCTTATTCATAGTGATGTATGGAGGCCATTTCATTCTTATTCCTCTTGTTACAAATTCTATGTGCTTTTCATTGATGAATTTAGCAAGTTTACTTGGCTTTATCCTCTTTGTTATAAAAGTGAAGTGTTTTCAAATTTTTTGGAATTTAAAGCTTATGTTGAGACTCAGTTTTCCACTAAATTGCAAGTGCTTAGGACTGATGGAGGTACTGAATTTGTTAATTCTTCTATGACTCAATTTCTAAAAGCTCAAGGCATTGTTCATCAATTATCTTGTCCCTACACTCCACCTCAGAATGGGGTCTCTGAATGCAAACATAGACATATTATTGAGACCACTATTGCTTTGCTTCATCACTCTTGTGTTCCCATCAAGTTTTGGTTTGATGCAGTCTCCACTACTACTCATCTCATTAATAGACTATCTAGTGACACTTTCTCATAAATCCCCTTATGAACTTCTTTTTCATGCTTTGCCTGATTACTCTTTTCTCAGAGTGCTTGGGTGTCAATGTTTCCCTTGGTTGAAACCTTATACCACCAATAAGTTCCAGCCTAGGTCCACTCTCTGTGTCTTTCTTGGTTACCACTCCTCCTATAAAGGTTACAGGTGTTTGGACATGGCCATAGGTAGAGTTCATATTTCCAGACATGTGAGCTTTAATGAAGATATTTTTCCTTTTTCCACTGTATCTACTGTTTCTATAGCATCTTCCTTATCTACTCTTCAGTTTTTCTTTTGGCCTACTTCTACTTTGACCACTATGGCTGCAGTCCCTGTTTCTATGCCTCAGCCTACTGTTGCACCAGTTCAGTCTGTTTCATTAGCTTCTGAATCTGTTTTGCCTCAGCAGCTTTCTGGTGCTGCACCAATTCAGACACCTCAGCCTACTGTTGCACAAGCTCAGTTTGTTTCATTAGCTTCTGAAACTGTTTTGCCTCAACAACTCTCTGATGCTGCACTAATTCAGACATCTGCTGCCCCAGTTGCTCCAGCCAAGTCTTTTGCCTCTGTTTTGGCTCAGACATCTGCTGTTCCAGCACAGTTCACTACTGCACCAGCTCCACCTACTACTACAACACATCCTCCTGCTGCATCAGCTCAACCAATTGCTGCATCACCTTAGCCTATTCCTGTTTAGTCTATTTTTATTGATTTACCTCCTATTTCCTCTACTACAAATATTCATCCCATGGTCACTCATTCAAAAGTTCATGATCTTGTGACACACACATCTTTCTCATTTGTTGATGTGGAACCTTTTACTTATTAACAAGCCATTGCCTCTTCACATTGGCATGCTGCTATGCTTGATGAGTGCAAGGCTTTAATGGCTCAAGGAACTTGGTCTCTTGTCTCTCTTCCAGCTTCTAAACAGGATATTGGTTGTAAATGGGTGTTTCGCATTAAGAGAAACAGTGATGGTTCCATTTCTAGATACAAGACACGATTGGTAGCTAAAGGTTTCTTGCAACAAGAAGGTATAGATTATAATGAAACCTTTAGTCCTGTTGCTAAACATCCCACAATTCACATTCTGCTTTGCCTTGCTTTGCACCATCATTGGTCCTTAAAGCAGCTAGACATTAGCAATGCCTTCTTATATGGTACCTTGGGTGAAGAAGTTTATATGACACAACCACCGGGATTTGTCAATCCTTCTTCCCCTCAACTTGTGTGCAGATTACAGAAGGCTATCTATGGATTGAAACAAGCTCCCAGAGCTTGGTATTCTACTTTTTTCCAAGTTTTTGATTTCTCAGGGATTTGTCAATAGCCACTGTGATAATTCTTTGTTCATCCACAAAACTTCTAATCCTATTACTATTCTTCTAGTATATGTGGATGACATTCTTCTTACTGGTAGTAATCCCTCTCATCTTCAAACTCTTATTCACCATATGCATTCAGCTTTTGCCATGAAAGAGTTAGGTGATATTTCCTATTTTTTGGGAATTTCAATTCAATCTCTTGGGGATTCTTATTTCTTATCTCAACAGAAATATGCCTTTGATATTCTTGCCAAAGCAGGCATGACCTCTTGTAAATCTTGTCCTACACCTAGCTCCATGAAACCTCCTCTCAATCCTGTTACTTCTCTTCCTTTTGCTCAACCTCGATTATATCGCAGCTTAGTTGGAGCACTGCAATATCTTACTATTACACGTCCAAATCTTTCCTTAGCTGTTAATCAAGCATGTCAATACATGCATGCTCCTACAAATGGTCACTTTGCTTTGGTCAAATGAATTCTTCGATTTGTTAAGGGCTCTCTCTCTCATGGGTTGGTTTTTCGTCCTAGTTCTTTCACCTTACAAGCCTTCTCTAATTCTAACTAGGCTGGGGATCTCATAGATTGCAAATCTACTTTAGGTTGTTGTTTCTATCTTGGTTCAAATATCATCTCTTGGTCTGCAAAGAAACAACCAACTGTTTCTAGATCAAGTACTGAGGCCAAATACTGATCACTTGCTCAGGGTACTGCTGAATTGAGCTGGTTATAGATGCTTCTTCATGATCTTTTCATTCCTACTACCTGCCCTCCTATTCTTTGGTGTGACAGCTTATCAGCAATTGCACTTGCCTCTAATCCAGTGTTTCACACACGTTCAAAACATATTGAGGTGGACTGCCACTTTATCTGTGAAAAGGTTGCTGAGAAACACCTTGTTCTCAAATACATTCCCTCTGTTGATCAGATTGTTGATATCTTTACTAAGCTGTTGTCAGCCTTTTGGTTTCAGTTTCTTCAGTCCAAGCTTATGGTCTGCTCTTCTCTCATCAGCTTGAAGGGGGCTATTAAGGATATCAAGGTTGAAGAACCTTCTAGTGCATCAAATGCAATCACAGGTTCAAGCTCAGCTGCAGCTCATGCCAGTTCAACTTCAGCATCACTACCAGATCATATTCAACTTCAGCCCAAGGTTCATCAGCTCAAGCCTCACTGACAGTTATACCTTTCAACTGTTATCGTAACTGATGGTAATTAGTTAGAAGTAGTTAGGATCTGTTAGTTAGTTAGATATCTTTTGTATAAATATACTCTGTATTACAGATATTTTTCAATGAGAATTGAATTCAGTTTTCCTTCACATATGCTCTGAAAATCTTATCTTGATGAATCCAATAATTGAATTTAAAGCAAATTATTTTGAAGCTTTTGATTTTGAAATATTTTACAAATAAAAAATATTGCTGAGACTAATTCTAGCCATCTGCTTTTATATATCTATCATTTCGCATCAAATCAATACCAACAGAAACTCTTTTCTTTTTTATTTTTGGTCAATACGTAGGAGGAGATAAATAACAAGAAAATTACAAATAAAATCTAACATGTAGCCAAAATCATAAAACAAGCTCATCAAACCAAACAAATACCAGAAAACTCCAAACAAATAGAACGGAAAAATGACCCACAAAATGTGAGAAGAGTTGAACCTCGTGCATCCTAGCGAGGTGTAGAGACTCTTGGCCAACAGGCTAGCCATGTTGGTTTGGAAACTTCCTCCTCAATGCGTGCTTTTTCATGGATGTTTGACCAAAGAATGCAGAAAATAACTCCTAGTTCTCTCAGGAAGATGTTTGATTAACCAGTTCATACATGTAACATAAGAGAATAAATCAATGCTAGCCATCAAATTTCTGATCGACTTTGAAAAACAAACATGGTACTTCAATCCAACTGAAAAATATTTCCCACCAAACAAAATTAAGGCTAAATAAACAAAATTAAGGCTAAATAAACGTCACAAAGAGCCTAGTTCATTATACTGGTCATAATTCCACTGCAGGAAAATTCACTTTTAGCGGCGTTTAAAAAACGCCGCTATAAGTACTAAAAACGTCACTAATTCTTTTTGTGACGTTTAGTACCAAACGCCGATGACGCGGCCGTCGTTATAACTTTACGACGTTTGAAAAATGTCGCTATATTAGTATAGGCGGCGTTTTTGAAAACGCCGCCAAATGTCTTATCTAACAGTGCTATGACGTCACTATGATATTTAGCGACGTTTTTGAAACGCCGTTATATTTTTTTTGAAAAATATGACCGTTAGATTTATAGGTGTAGGTGGCGTTTCTTAAAACGCCGTGGTATCCTTTTTTTTTTTGAAATTGTGCTAATTTTATGCGAATGAACTAAAAAAAATACCTCTAATAAAACTGAATAACACTAATATAAAATAATAACTCCCACTCAAATAATAAAATCATATCAAATGATAGTCCACAATCATTGTGCAAAAAAACAAAAAAAATCTTAATATTATTTTAATTATATTAGTCACAGTATTTGGAGCACTGAAAAAAGAATGAAATCTACAACATAGAAAACAATTACATATACTGGTCTAGCAATCTGTAGAAGACACTAGAACATTATGCTCCTTTAGACGTCTCTGAAAATGAGCCAAACGGTTTTGTAGATGTAGAATGCCAACAGCCTTCTGGGACAGGATTGCATTCAATCTAGATATATAATCATCCAACTGATTTCCTGGTTTGATCTGCCCCAACCAACAGGTTCATCTCCTACAAATATGAAAGAAGAATGTCAAAATCATGGATCTGCAGGCCATAGGAGTCCACAAATTGAACCTTCATTGATGAATAAGAATCCTGCATTAGATGTAATAAAGTACTCAAGTAGCCAGTGGACACCACGAGATATAAAGCAGCGGAAGCATTTAAGAGGCAGAAAATATCGGTGAATAAGAATCCTGCAATAGATGTAATAAAGAAGAAGAAAATAAAGCAATAGGTATTCACACACAGAAAAGCAGCCAAAATCAAATTCATTTCAACAGCACTCAAATTTATGTTGAACTAAGATTTGGCATAGCACTGGAAGTGTACCTGTCAAATAGAATGTCATTGGCAAGGTAAATTATATGCAATTGTCTCTCAGAATCATCCACACCAAACACCCTGTCCCTAAGTGCCTCGGCCAGAGCTGGTGCAAATGGAGACCTCTGCATAAACCAAATCTTGGCACCTTTGATTGACTCTTTGGTTCCAGTGAGATTGTTAAGCACATTGTTCATCTCCATCGCAACATCTGAAGGCAGAGGTCCAGAGAGACCTTTGAATGACCTGGAAGAGTGAAGACAACTGGTAGAAGGTTGGTCTTGCTTTCATGGCACAGAAGGAAGAAAACAGTTGCTGATAAAATGAGCATATTTGAAATCTAAAGACTCAGATGAATTATGGACATGCCAAAAAGACAAGAATAAGAAATGAATGTGTTTCTAACGAGAAATGTATTATTAATTCATTACAAGAAACATGAGATGAAGTTGTTATTAGGTAAGGTATGATTATGTGCAAACAAAATAAAGACTAGTGAGTGTGAGGGACATGTGGACTGACAACGAAGGGACGGGGGCTGAGGAAAAAAAATTATACAAGAAGCTGTGAACTAACTAGAAATATTGTCTAGATCAGAATATGGTAGAAGAATTATTTTTTCCATCCAGTGAGTACTTACTATCTAAAGAGTAATTGTTGCATTATAGATTTTGACAATGAGGTTGAACTATGTGCCTTTCAAAAATGTAATTTGCTTCTGGTAATTGTTCCCATACTCTATTTGCAAACATGGTTATCAATCATGCACAACCTATGTATGCCATAAATGGATTTTTGCTGCTAAAAATGATTTTTACTGAGGTTACATAAGAAGGGCCTTTTACCTGCTCCTTCCTGCTCAATGTTTTATCTTATTGTGTGTTCATAAAGAATTGGTAATTTGCCTCGGTAAGCTAGCTCCCAACATGGAGTAAAATGTTACTATCAATGTAAATGACAGCCTGATTATTGCACAACCTCTTTATGGGCCTTCGGCAAGGGAAACCCATCATTAAGAAAAGATTGATATTCTAATTAATAAATAATTAATTGAGTTGACGTTTAAAAATTCAATATTTTCTGATGCTAAGAAGTGAAACTTAATTGAGATTGTATTTTAGTGGAGGAGATGTTGAAATCTTGAATGGCAACATGAAACCACCTGTGTCTGTGTGTGCCTATGAAGGTTTCTTTTTGGGTAATTTGTGTCTATGAAGCTTCCTTCACCCTTTGCTAACTTTTTAGCTTACTTTCTCCAGTTAATTATATAGTTTTCGTTCAAGAAGACAAAAAGGAAGAGAAAGAACAAAATTAATCATTAGGGTTGATTGGACAAAAGTGGAGATGCAATTGCCCAATTTCATTGAGAGAAAAAAAGAAAAAAAAAAAAGAACAATAAGGATCATGAACTATAGGGCAAACCACATTCAGTTTAGTGAGTAAGCGAAGGGAAGATGTGGAAGTAGGATAAAGGTGTTATTTACCTTTTGCTTTAATAGTATTAGTACTACTGTACTACTAATACTAGTCTACTGCTGCTGCTACTATAATGTTTCGCTGTTGTGTTATAGTTTCTCACTACTGAATATATTTCAAGTCTGATTCATGCAACTCTGCACACAGGTGGTTCTTGATTTAGATGAGACTCTAGTGTGTGCTTATGAAACATCCAGTGTGTGCTTATGAAACATCTAGTTTAATGGTTTTAGTTGAACTTACAACTTATTCAACGACATGGAATGCAATTGCATAAGGATAAGCTACTAAAGTTATGTGTACACCCCATACCCTGTATTGTTGGCTTAGGTTGTGTTTGGATCTTGGATTTGTGGAGGGAAAAGTGAATGAAGTAGCAGCTGCAGGACACACTTTCCAAACAACATCAACAACAACCTAAAAAGAAGTAAAAAAGTTCACAGTTACATTGGAATATCACATAAAAAACTGACAACATGCAGTTCGAAAGTGAGTCCTTAACTTATTGCTGAACATAAATGAAGAAACGATGCGGCTCAGTCGATCATGATTAGGAAAATTTTATAATTTAAAGAAAATTATATTTTTGCCAAGGAATTGGTTTTTCAATGTAAAGACAATTTTTCCATAATGGTCCTAAAAGAGATGGTATCAGTAGCATTCTTTGAAGGAAATAAATTCAAAATCGAACTCGTACAATGTTTCGTTGCGGCCATTCTATTCAACGTAAATGAGCTTAGAATCCTTGTATTAAAAACTAAAGTTAAAGGTCCAAATTATACCTCCAGCGAATTATTTATACACCTGTGCTGATAACAACCATTTCCTTGGGTCATGGAACCCCTTACAAACCCAGTCCGTACTAATGATGAGGCCATACACCTACAAGAATGAACAGAAGTTATGCCAATGCAGAATTCAAATGTGAGAATTTGAAAAAAGTTCCATAAGCATATCTCACCTTGAGCTATGTCCTCTCACCTCACCCAACATTCTGTCAGGTGCTCGCGCACTGTTCATGTCTGTGCATGATTGCATGATCCATCAGAATAAGCTACATAATAAGTGCAATAGTCAGCTAATGACGACTGCCCACCTACGAAGCTAAACTGGTTCGTAGAAGATCAAATGGATATGATCCAACCGTTGTTGCACATCCCGCTAATGCTCCACTGATATAAGAAAGATACGGACTTAAATGAATGTGATCCTCTGTATCACAAAAAACAGCAACCAGGATATGGCATGTAAGAGACCAATACTAGAAAGATCAGGCCTAATAATGTGCATATGCCTAGTGTTAACTGAAGTTTTGACATTTAACATTGCACAATCAAACAGCTTATATCAGAATTTATAAGATTAGTACCACAAACAAACACAGACAATCCCCTTTGCCATGCTTCTACGATAATAAAATAGAAGCACGATGCCAAGAATCGCATTAGGCATTGCAACGGAAAATTCATCATGTAGTCATTTGGTCCCATTCCAGTGACCAAAACTACACAATACATTTAGAACACAGCCATCCATGACAAATGAGAATAATTCCTTAAATAGTTAAACAACCAAAAGCCACTTTTCAAGCTCAAATCATTAGAGATCCAATTGTATGTAGTTAATCAGAATAATAACATCAAATACAGGCAATTGCATTTAGCTGAAAATAATAATAATTAGCTGAGGAATATAGCTCCTGTTTGGAAAGTGAAAAAAAGATTGTATGTGGTAACATCTAATTATCCCAAGGAATAGATTGCCAAAGAGTGCAATATAGTTGTATCTCTGATGATGTTGTTTGAGTTGTTTAACAAACCTGTCTTGGAAGAACCAGTTGCAAATGTCTTCAATTTGTGCAACACAGTAAATTGTATGGCAGTATATGGCATAACCATGAGGAGTGCTGGGACATTGCCACACCAAAAACCCTGTAATGAGCCATCAACATGAATAAAATGTGGCAAAAATACAAGGCATTGCCAAAATATACCAAAACTGATTTTCTTATAAAAGACAGCCTAGCCAAACTTGCAAAGATACTATTGTCCACCAGAGAGCAGAATTGAAATCAATAGAGGATAAACCTAAAACAGCCTTCTTAAAGCTTTATATCTTCTTGATGGAATATGCTATTTTCCTATATTGGCTAATACAAGTATTAATACCCAAAAACAATTCTCTTCACGCAGAGACCCAAAGAAAACCAACAATATATACATATATATATATATATATATATTGTTGTAAAAAATATAAGATACAAAATTGTAGTTTTATCAAAAGTACAGCACAAGCCCTATTGTTCTACACCTATGCAGATGTAACTCAAAAGCCGGTTATTGGGTTCAGTTTAATCTAAAATTAATATCATGAATATCATCCTTCAGCAATTGGAGATGGAAAATTAACCAACCTAAACCTAGAATTACAGACTTATGTGTAGTGCTAACAGAAAACATTATTACCAGTCTACAAATGAAGGTTAAATACCCGTAATCCTTCCTCTCTAAAGATGTCCTTAGTTGCACAGTAACTGTAACATTTACCTATAGGCAGCAGTTTCATTTGTGCCCAAACAAATCCCTTTCAGAATACGTGTGCATAAGTTAGCCAAGAATAAATTATATTAACCATTCCACTTAAAAAGTCAAGCCAAACTTGCCTCCACTTGGTTGTCCGTGAGGTGCTTCTTGATAGTACTCCATATTTGTTTTTTCTCCACAGTAGAGAGAATAAAAGTATGCCTGTTATGAAAAGAGATTACAATGTAAATGATATTGGTACTGTAAAGTAACTGCACCTTTACATTTTCAATGTAACAAAGATGCCAAACTTCAAACTAGACAAGTGATGATACTAGTCATGCATGTCAAAAGAAAAAAAAAAGTAAGAGAACTCAAAAAACTGAAAATATGTAAATGACTAAAACGAGTAAACAAAACTAAAAATCCAGTTGAATTGTATAAATGACAATTCATGGGTACAAAGTCTTGTCATAGGCTATAAAGTATTGCATAACATTGCACGAACATAAGAACACAGCTCCTTCAGGCAACTTCGGCGGATTGTCACACCAGTGCTCGAACTACAAGGCATTTTTCTTTATGTAAACCAGACGAATATTATTTGTTTCACAATAAGAACCAAGTCCAACTAAACACATCATGATGATATCTTTCTACAGAAACAGAGGCAGACAAAACCAAAACATGAAAAGTCATATCGAAATATAACTAGAGAGACATAACATAGTCATAAACAATACCCCACCCCCCCTACGGACAAAAGCTACAACATAACTCAGATAATAAGAGCCAGACCTAACCCACTTTATGTTTTAGCCATCCTATCAATCTTTCAATGTAACAAAGATGCCAAACTTCAAACTAGACAAGTGATGATACTAGTCATGCATGTCAAAAGAAAAAAAAAAGTAAGAGAACTCGAAAAACTGAAAATATGTAAATGACTAAAACGAGTAAACAAAACTAAAAATCCAGTTGAATTGTATAAATGACAATTCATGGGTACAAAGTCTTGTCATAGGCTATAAAGTATTGCATAACATTGCACGAACATAAGAACACAGCTCCTTCAGGCAACTTCGGCGGATTGTCACACCAGTGCTCGAACTACAAGGCATTTTTCTTTATGTAAACCAGACGAATATTATTTGTTTCACAATAAGAACCAAGTCCAACTAAACACATCATGATGATATCTTTCTACAGAAACAGAGGTAGACAAAACCAAAACATGAAAAGTCATATTGAAATATAACTAGAGAGACATAACATAGTCATAAACAATACCCCACCCCCCCTACGGACAAAAGCTACCACATAACTCAGATAATAAGAGCCAGACCAAACCCACTTTATGTTTTAGCCATCCTATCAATCGATCTCCACCTGCAAAACACAGACAATCTCATCAATGAAGCTTGATGATATTCAAATTTGTGCACTAAAATAGTGTCCTAATAATGGGTTTAAATAACATCCCTTAAGTGTTATGAGCCTCAAAAATTGATAAAAGGATGTAGAGTACATACCCTGGGCTTTTCAACCCAACAGAGGATTAGTAGTCATCAAAAAACAGTTCTCCATAGTCAGAATAATCACTGTCGCCGCCTGAGAATTCATAATCATTGTCAACGTCAGACAAGAAGTCGATCTCAGAAAACCCAGATGGGTACTCATCATCAAATGAATCCTCATCATCATCATAAACAGTTGTATCAAACTCATAGTCATCGGTGGGATCGTACGGACGCTGAGACAGACCCTATTTACTTCATAATAGTCTTAGCTTGACATTTTCAAGCCGTACTAGCTCTTGCCAGAGATGATATCAAAATGAGCACTGGTTTTCACAAATGATGCTCTGAAAACAATTAGATGTAGGACCAAACTGAAGAACTAACATATTACAAGGAATTATCAATGTTAAAACTTACAGTTTTTCCTTAATGATTTTTATGTTAAAACCTTAATTAATAATCATATCCTCGATCATCATGTAGAAAATATCCTCTTCTTTATATTTCAATAACAAATAAAGAGTCCCCAGTTCTTTAAGATATCACTAATGCCAAACTAAAACAGGAAAGAAGCTGTGTTAGAACGAAGGGACAGACCTGGAGAGTCAGAGCACTGGTGTGTTTGGTAACCAAGAAATTGGTCAAGTTCACACAATATCACCTCATTGTCCATGCGATTGAAGCTACTCTCCATCGCGATCTTCCACTCCTCCGTACTCGAATCCTTCTTCTCTATCTCTTCCTTTACAAGTTCATGTAACCGATCTCTACACTTCATCGCCACCTACAAAGAAATCAAACACCTATTAACACTTGTTAATGAAAAACAAAATAAAAACGACTTGCTTGAAACCTTGTTAATCAGCAGATTTAACAAAATGCGAGAGATATCAGATCGAGTTCGGATTTTGATGAGATTAGATCGATTTTCTTGTTCGATTTCGGATCTACAATTTGCGAGAGAGATCGAGTTCGAGTTCGAGTTCGATGAAGAAAAGCTAGGGCAAGAACAGATCTAACAAAATGTAAGAGAGATCAGATCAGATCAGATCGAGTATGGATTTCGATCAACTTGAGAGATCAGATCAGATCAGATCAGATCAGATGAAGAGGATCGACTTTCTTGTTCGATTTGTGAGAGAGAGAGAGAGAGAGAGAGAGAGAGAGAGTTCGATGAAGAACAGCTAGAGTGAAAAAGATCGAGTTCGAGTATCCAATGAAGAACAGCTATAGTGAGAGAGATCGACATTAATCGCGAGAGAGAAGAGCAGCTCATGAGAGATTGTTTTACTTTGGTAATTGGAATGGGGTTAAGTGTCTGTTAAGTAAAACAGACTTGGCTCATTCAGACCATCAACGGGCATCATGGCTTGAAAAACGTGTTGGCTATTGAGATATACCACAGCGTTTCATAAAACGTCTTTGATTCAAACGTCGTCATAGCCAACTTTTCTTGTAGTGTTCAAGCCATTCAATTTTATATTTATGGAAGAATAATGCAACCTAACCACGTTATCACATTTCACACACATTACTTCCATGCTGTGCCAACTCAAAATCAGTCATAGATTGGTTATACTCAGATGATCCAAGCCATTTAATTAGCAGACTTCATATTGACCCATCATTATACTGGTCATAGATTGGTTATACTTAGATGATCCAAGCCACGTTATCATTATACTGGTCATAATTCTAGCTAGAGGCTACAATACTATCTCACACTTCTAAATATGGTATATACAAAGACCTATCATTGTCCACACAAATAAGTCACTAGTTAAGACAAAGGGTTGCTTTCCTTTTATTTCATAGAACCACCACATGTAATTGATTTAATCCTATTTTATTAGCCAACATCAATGCCCTAATCTGCATGAGAATACACCATATATAACCAGTACACTGTGCTCTCTAATTCATATACACCTCCCTCGATAATATCGGTAGTTAATTCATCCTAGGTTCCTCCATTAACAATAAAGAACAACGCCCTCTACCATGGAGAAAAAACCCAACTCAAATACTCAACTTCCACCTGGTTTTAGGTTCCACCCAACTGATGAGGGGCTCATCGTGCACTATTTGAGAAACAAAGCAACCTCAAGTTCACTGCCTGCAGCTATTATAGCTGAAGTTGATCTCTACAAGTGCAACCCTTGGGAGCTACCAAGTCTGTGTTGTTGCACCCAACACTTTGTTGTTGAAATCTTCTTTCATTGTTTTGACGGTCAAACTTACTAAACGAAAAAGAAAATTTTTTTTTCCCTCTTTTAAACAGGGAAAGCTTTGTTTGGCAAGGAGGAATGGTACTTCTTCACCCCAAGGGATGCGAAGTACCCTAACAGAGTGAGGCCTAATAGGATGACAGCTTCAGGTTATTGGAAAGCTACGGGAACTGATAAACCAATTCGCAGTTCATGTGGAACAAGGATAATTGGAGTGAAAAAAGCTCTGGTGTTCTATAGAGGACGCCCTCCAAGAGGAATCAAGACGGACTGGAACATGCAGGAGTACAGATTGCCTGAAGCAACGATGTTGACTTCCAAGCGAAAAGAATGCATAAGGGTAAGTTGTTTTGCATGATATCTAGCTTTCATTTACGTTCCATTTGCTTCAGCCAAAAACATTTTCCAGCGAAAAACTTTCAGAGAACACTTTCCTATGTTTGGCTGCATCCTTGAAACTAATGTACTAATGGTTGTATTCGTGGTGGTGGTGGTGGAGAGGCGGTGGTGGCGGCTGCAGTGGTGATGGTGGTGGTGAAGGTGATGGTAGCGGTGGTAGTGCGGTGCCACTGGCACGATGTTAGTTCGGAAAACGTTTTTGGCCCAAATAGGCTTGTTTTCCGTTGACTTTCGTTTTCTGTTATGCCAAACACCAGCACAAACAAATGGAGTGTTAACAAGAAGTGGATGTTCTTATGAATCACTGGATCCAACATGAGGGTTTAACCTTTCATGCCACTTCTTGCATTGGCATAGTCTACAACAAGCTCTAAGCAGCTCCTCTTCTCATGAGTTTCCAACAACACATGCAGACACAATACACATTTCATATATCAACTCAATACCAGTAAAAGAATATTGATAATTTTTCTATTTTTTTACATTAAGCACAGATTGATTGAAATGCTTTTCTTCTTAACAGTTGGATGATTGGGTACTCTGCCGGGTTCGGCAGAAAAACAGTACAAGGAACAGTTTGGAAGATCAATTTGGTTCTAGAAATGAACCACTTTGTGAAGAACATGCTCTACGAGTACAAATGCCAAACATGAAATGGTCAGAGAATTTCTGTACAGAGATTGCCTGGTGTTACCATTAATCATTGAGTCTTCCATGGACAGTTTCTAGCACAAGCTTTGAAGCTAGCAAAACCTCTACTTCAGTCTGTGAAGGCTATTCTGACACAAACTATTCACAATACGCGGTCCCACCTTTTGACAGTTCGATCGATGGAC